CCACATCCTGTTTTTCTAGAACAATGTCCCATGACCTCTTTATTTAAGGGCTTGACTAACTCAGTCTGGGGGGCTAGTCCTGCTCTGGTTTCTTTGGGAAAGAAACTCTTTTAACCATCAAAAAATCTAAGCAACTTTTAGAGATTTCTTTTCAAAAGTAGGTGGAGGCCAAGTTAATGCGTATAGTTTCTGAGTACTTGTACAGTTGACTACTACCTCTTTTACATATGAAAATTTTACTTCAATTACTAATAGTATTGCTAATAATGTTTTGAAGTGTGCCGTTGCTGGGTGAGGGTCTAGTAGTACTTGAGTTTTTCCTATTAGAGTACTTTTTTTCTCCAAAGTCCCAAAGGAAAACAGATGCAAGGGGAAGTAGTTGGAAAAAGACCAAATCTGAATAATTCTTTTTTTGTCTCAGTTTTCTCTCTTAAAATGTATGTGTAATGATTGTTTCTGCCCCACAGTGTTGTTGAGAGTTCTGCATAAGTTAATATATAAAGCATCGAATGCTAACTTTCTCTGTTGTCTCCTTATTTTTTGAAGGGATAATGATGTCATGGTCTCAGATATGGCCTTGGAGCTAGGCTTCCTGTATTCAAATTCTCTTCCCACCACTAACTAGTTATTTTACCTTTCTGGTCTTCTTTGCCTGTTTTTTCCAAATGCACATCTGACTTCTCAGCTCTTACACTCTCATGTCAACCTTCTAGGGCAGAAGAAACATACCAAGTAAGAAGAACTTTAAGAATGTTTGTCCTAACACCTAGAAAAAGCCTGGCATAGGCCATTTATAACTGGGCTCCTGAGAGCACCATAACTCTAAGAAGTCACACGTCAGTCCTTTCTAACTTTAATACAGCCAATAAAATGTCTTTGGAGCTGAGGTGACCTTACTCAACCTTGTGGGAGAGGGTGGACAAATCTTGAAATCAAAGGGGATACTCAGACATCCATTTAAGACTAACTGACCAAATATCAATTAACCTAAAGTCATCTCATCAAAACAATTTACATAATGAACAATGTAAATTCATTAAAAGCTAAAACAGGGAGCATCAGCTCGCTGAAGGAGCAATTGGTGGAACACTTGACACCGGTACTTTACATCAGGTGTAACACCGTTTTCTGTTACTAGAGGGAGAGCCCACCAGGCAGCATTAGGACCAGGCAGGATTAGTATCGGAAACTGGGGAACATGCAGGAAGCAGTGCTTCGCGTTAGTTAGTGGCTGCCATGTAGGGCCTGGGCCAGGTATCATTAGAGCCTCGCAGTTTTCAAATGAAGGCTGAAATCTGGAGTTTTATGTGAACTGTGCACTATGCAGGCCAAATGCACCCCACATGTGGGCTTGACTCTTCCTGAGCTCCTGCCGCCTGCAGTCTTGCTGTACGCACTAGGCGTGTGTGGATCCAGTCTCAGGCTTGCAGCTCCGTGAACATGTCCCGAAGCCTCAGCAATGCACATTAAGTTGTAATTTCTCTGAGGCACAAATTTGTATCCCAAATGCTCTAAGGTTGACTTCTGAATGTGATTTACTTACCTAATACTTTGTTTTCTGCCCAGTTTCTGTAATTCCATGTGGCTTTTGGGGTTTTAAAAATCAAGTTTGAATACACAATATCACTTATGAAACAAAGTTTTTCCTCTCAAAAAGGGCTGTGGGAGTTGGGAGAGGTAGTTGACTTCTAATGTTGGAGAAAGAAATGAAAAGAAAGTGAGAAGGACTACTAAATGTTTAACTGGAAAATAGTTTGAGGTAGAATTTGATGAAGGTAACAATAGGAATTTTGAGTGGAAACAATCAGCAGTTTTTCAGACCATGGTAGCAAAAATTAGGTAAGAAGTAAATATAAAGAAATTACTTGAAAATTTCAGTTTTACTTTATTTCATTTTAAAGGGAAATTGATGTGCTATGAAGTATTTTTAAGTATTAATTTAGAATATTAAATATTAATTAAATATTTCTGAGAGATGATGGGTAACCTACAATGTCAAAAAAACTGTGATGCTTTATAAGTTACCTAAATTCTTTTTCATGTTTAGATCCCTCAAATAGATTGCTGAAGGCAGTAACTGCTTTCTTTTCTCTCTCTCTCTCTTTTTTTTTTTTGCTATTTCCTTTCATATTTCTACTATAGTGTTCTGCTTATTGACGGTTCTTGATAAATTGAGAGCTTTGATTTATTTAAAGGTATCTCTCAGTTTTAAACATTTATGGCTTAATTTTTTTTTTCTATCAAATCCAGAAATTGTGTGTGTGCCCTGGCTAGTGAAGGAGGCTATGCCTCACACTTGGAGGAATATAAAAAATGTACTGTTTTTAACACCCAAACAAAACAGTTCATAATTTGAAATCCTCTCTGTATATCATTATCTTCTTTTAAATTTTTTATTGTTTATTCTATTAGAGTTGTCCCATTGTTTTTCCTTTGTCTCCCTCCATGCAGCCCACCCCTCTCGCCCACAGACAATCCCTTCTCTGATGTCCATGTCCATGTGTCATTCATACATGTTCTTTGACTTGTCCCTTCCCCTTCTTTCCACCACTATCCCCCTCTTTCCTCTCCTCCTACAGCTATCCATTTGTTACATGTTTCCATGTCTCTGGTTCTATTTTTCTCTTTAGTTTATTTTGTTCATTAGATTCTTGTTATAAGTGAGGCCATATGGTATTTGTCTTTCTCTGATTGGCTTATTTCACTGGGCATAATGCTCTCCAGTTCCATACATGCTGTTGAAAAAGGTATTTATTTTAAATTTGCACCTCACATTTTCAGCCAAAACCTTGTGATTTGGAGTCAAAAGGAAAAATATAAAGACTGTTTCATTCAATATTATTCTATTTCTAGCCCAGGAAACACTATAACCCTAGAAGAAACCTACTGCCATAATATACTCAACTAAATATCTTAAGAACATAAGGTGGTAGATTTACACAATGGAATACTATGCAGCAGAAAGAAAGAAGTCCTACCTATTGTGGCAGCATGGATGGAACAGGAGAGTATTATGCTCAGTGAAATAAGCCAGGGGGTGAAAAACAAATACCATATGATTTCACCTATAAGTGGAACCTAATCAACAAAACAAACAAGCAAGGAAAATATAACCAACAACACTGAAAGAAAAAAGACACCAACAGTAACAAGAGGGAATGAAGGAGGGAGTGATGGGGCAAAGAAGGGGAAGAGTCAAATCAAGGAACATGTGTAAAGGACCCATGGACAAAGCCAAAATGGGGAAGGATTGAGGAAGGGAGGTGGGGTTAGGTGGGGCAAGGGAAAGTGGTGGCCAGAAAATGGAGACAAATGTATTTGAACAATTAAAAAAAATTAAAAAGAAATTAAATGATTCAAAAACTGCAAAAAAGGTAAATAAAGCACTGGAGTCATCAGAGTATTTGGAATGAGCTAATGGAATCTGTAGTTTCCTTCAAAGTTAGGACGTGTGGAACAGGGTAGACCCTTCAAGCCTAAGGCTTGATGGCAGTAACATGGAGAGATTTCTCCCACCCCCAAATCACTTGCACCATTTCTTCTTGTCCATTTGAACTGTTGTGCCATCTTCCAGCATCTTGGGATACACAGCAAACAGAGAAGCTCTAGGACAAGAGCACAGATGTTAACTGGAGTTCAATTGCCTGGATCCATTTGTTTGCCAGAGAGGTTTCTCTTCTAGCAACAGAACAATTACAAAGTGAGGAACCCAAGCAGTGCAGAGCTTGTCAAATTGTAAAAGACTTGATTACTGAAGAGTGAAATTTCATTCGTAATTGTCACAGTTCACTCTTCCTTATTAAGCTTTTTTTTCCTGTAAAGCTCTTCTTTGAAAATATTGTGCTCTCAAGTGAGAAATTCTTCTGGAAAATTTTTGGAAGAGAAGATTTGGAGATGTTGGTTATTTTCTACCTTTTAGAGACCACGAATACCTAATGTGGAAGATGACTTGTGAGGTCCGACAAAAATAGAGTCTTGAAGGAACATTATCTCACAAGTAGCTAACAAAAGATCAAGTGTACAGAAACCGCTTAATTTTTTAAACTGAATTTCTGTGCAAAATACGGGAAGTTTCCAAAGTAATATCAATTCTTTTATACATAACTTTTCGGTTATTTTTGAGATACATATTTATATATTCTCTCTGAAGTAATGTGTTTACCACTCTGTCATGGGCTAGTTATTCATTCATTCATTTGACAAATATTTTTAAAGTACCAATTTTGTGCAAGCCATGTTGACAAATATTTATGTAAATAAATCAAAGAGAATAAGTGAAATGCAAATATTAGTTTTTAAGTGCTCAATTGTTATGCAAGAATGTATTCTCCTGAGATTATTTTGGCAAGTTACTAAGATTTGTTGGCAAAGAGCTTTGTCCTTGGTGAAATAATTGAAATATGATTTGCTTTGGTCCATTTTGAACTAACTCTTTGCTGTGTATAACTAGAGCCAAAATTCCTTTTGGATAAAACCTGTCTTTTAAATTTTTCATTGAATTTTATTTTTTGCCTACTATAATTTTTATTTGTAAGAAATCTTATAAAAGTATATTTGATGTTTAAGATCTATGAAAAGTAATGGTATTGCTGAAACCCAGAAAAAAAAATTCAGTGTTTTGACTTATCATTACTTAATTGGGCAACTATCTCTAATCTTACAAGCTTTATAATCATCTCTCCTCCCAATCTCCAAATAAGACTGCAATTTTATAAAGTTAGTTACTTAAAACATTCCAACTTTAGTTTTTTAAAGGAATTTTATGATATTGTTTCAGAATAATTCAAATTTCCATATGATGCAATACTAAATATAAAAATGTTAGGTCTGCTAAATTAGAAAAGTTGAATTTTAGTTACTTTGAATGTTGACTTTTAAATATATTCAGAATCATTGTTGCTTTTGCTTAAGGATTGAAATAATTACGTTCTTTAATCTGAAGAAGTAAATACTGTCTTTAAAAAATCTGATAATTTTTTTCAATGCTCTTTTGCTATTAGGTGAGTTGGGCTCTTGGGATCTGCTCATTTGCCTGTCTTCTAGGGAAGCTGGTGGAAAACCCTGCATATCCAAGGAAGACATGTGCCAGTTAGGTTTACATCAAAAGGTAAAATTTTCTTTTTCAAATATGCACAGATTGTACCAACCTCATAGATATTTACTGCCAGTATTTCTTGTTCCATAATGTTAAAAAAGAGTCTCAAAAATTAGAGTCATTATGTTTGGAGAAAATTCCAAGGCTAAGACTTAACACACTTTACCATAAAAAGTTTACCACTTTTTGTTTGATAGAATCCCCCTCAACTTTGCCTGCTACCAAAGACCCAGTTTTACCTAGTAAGACCCAAAGCTTGATTGAGAAGCCTATGGCCTATGGCCTATGGCTAGTTGCTTATCTTGACCACATGCTCATCCAAAATAGTAAAGTCTTTATACTCTAGATCACTGTTTTGACTTTTTCAAAGTTAAATTGGTATCCCAAATTATGATAAAATTTAGACGATTTCTTATTAACTTTAAAAATTGATATCCAATATTTACTGTTTACTTTGTGTGAATTTTTGTAAATGCTTTTAGAAAAGTTAAAAAAATTATCAAATGCATATAATGTGCTAGTCACTGGGCTAGAAGATTTGTGTATGCTCAATTTTGGTACCTTTAGCAAGTCTGAGAAAAGTGTCAAAACCAATAGGTATTTTTCAGTAGTATTAATAAAATAGTATTGTAGTAGCAACCCTGATCACTTGGCTTGTCCTGCTAGGAGGTGGACTGAAACAGACAGAAAATATTATAAGGAAGGATTTCCTTCCTTCTTCTAACTCTTTACTCCCAAAGGCTGAGCACATTGTTTTGGTTCTTCTTGTACATATTTGGCCATTTCTTATCTCCCTCTTTTATTTTTTTCCCCCAATAGCCATCCTTCCCCTGCCCATTCTTAAATGCCTGAGTTCCCTAGTACCACTCCTAAAGTCTCAGCCACCATTTGTAGCTGATGATTCCCAAATCTACATCTAAACTTCAAAGCACTGTACCAGATTTGGGCTTGCATGCGCATCCCCAGGCCTGCTGATCATCTCTTCTATGCGTCTCGCAGACACCTCAAGCTCAACATGGACAGAATTAGCCCATTGCTTTCTCTGGTAAATTTACTTCTGCTCTTGCATCTAGAAGTTTGGAGAACTTCTGTTCTGTTGATCATAAGCATGATCGACTCCCTGTCACTTCCTAAGACAGAACCCGGGCCTTCACCTTTGAATGCTTCTCCTTTGTTATCTGTATTCCATCAATCACCAATACTAAGGAATCTAAATATTTCTCAAATATTTCCCTACTCAATATTTCTCAGATATTCATACTTACTACCTTTAAGTTTTCTGAAGCAAATATTTTGCCCCTGAAATGTATCTTGCCCACAGTTGTCACAGTGAAAATCATAAAGGCTATAATATTTTCTGTCTGTTTCAGTCCACCTCCTAGCAGGACAAATGTCATTCTCAAAGGGATATAACTGAAGAGAAACTAATGAAGGAGCTATTTATAGAGGTTTTGACAGGATAAGGAAAAAAGATTAGAGACACAAAGACACCAGCAACATTATAACTTTTTACCCACCTCTGGTCTGAAGAAGCCTGTGAAGAAGGAATTGGTGTAGCAGAACCTAATGAGAGCTGGAGCCAAGAAAGAGGTCTGTGGAGGAGCTGTAAGAGAGGAGCTATGCAAGTAGGGAAAGTGAGCCATTGCCAGATCATAACCCTGCAGAGAGGAAGCTGGGAAGTATGTGCCCAGCCTTCCTCCTCTCCCACCTTTCTCTCTTGCCAAGGCCTCCCATTGGTACCAGGCACCATGTGAAGAGCTTTCATATTTATTTATGTCCACATTGAGGAGATTAAAACACAAAGAGGTTAAGAAAATTGCCTAAAGCTGCACAGATAATAAGTTAAAAACCAGGATTCTGACAGTCTGACGTCAAATTCTGTTTTCTTAAACATATCACTATAGAACCTTTCTAAGTAAACATTTAGCTACTGCACTTACAGCCTATGCTAATGAATATTCTTAAAGAATACATAAATTCTAAATGATACATATTCGCTATTACTTTGGAACATAAATAATTTGAAGCTTCATGGGCCATGACTTATTTATGTGAACATATCAAAACACAGGTTGCTTCAAATTTGTTGAGGATGTTGTAGGATTGTCAATGTCTGTAGAATGAACAAAGAAAGGGCACCTGCTCAAATTTAAACTACTAATCATGTCAGAGCTTTGGAATTTAAGTGTTTCATGAAAATGGTCTTCAGATCTGTTATAGAAAATGAGTGGTCAGGAGTCTCGCCAGCCAGGAGGAGAGGGACATAAATTTAAAACTGTGTTGGTCCAAGTGATGCTGAAAGTGAAGTGAGGTCCACTGCTGAGAGTAGCACTGAATTTAGTAACCAGGGCCGCATCTCACCTCTAACAGACAGGTTCTAGTGTTTCCAGAGGACAAGAATTGATTTCTACCTCTAAGTGTTTGTAGGAATAGCAGCCCCTAAAACCAGGATGCTGTTTTTAGTACTTGGAGCATGGCGAACTACTGAAATGGCTCTTATCTGAAAGTCTTCAAAGACCTTTTCAGGTGAACTATGGAATGATAATTGTATGTTGGAGACATGGAGGATGATTAGTTGTTTTTCTTACTGTCATTAATTCTCTTTCTGATGGATGATACTGAACAGCTTTCAGAGATCCTATTTTTGCTAAAATAAAAGATATGAAGGTCTGAACAGATCTAATGAGGAAAAAGAATAGTCCCTGACATACATTAAGTGTGTGTTACTCTCAATGTTCATAAGTGAATAAAACACTATTTTTACCTGGGTGTCTTTTTAAAAATTATTTATATTTTAAAGAGAGGGGAAGGGAGGAAGAAAGAGGAGAGAAGCATATATGAGAGAAAAACATCGATTGGTTGGGACAAGCCTGCAACCCAGGCATGTGCGCTGACTGGGAATCAAACCTGTGACCTTCTGGTTTGCGGGGCGACACCCAACCAACTGAGCTACATTGGTTAACGCTATTTGGGTGTTTTCTTAAACTTTATAGAGTCTAAATATAAATGTATATTTCCCTTAATGAATTACCGTAGTTTTTAAAAACACTTTCTAGGTGTTTATCATTAATATTGTACTGTTTCTGTTATTAAAGTTCTCAAAATAAGAATTATTTTTTAGTTTTGCTTCAAACAACATGTAATAAAAATGACTTAGTGCATCTTACCAGAGATTAGGATTTTAGAAGGTACATTGGGATTGAAATCTTTTTAAATGCACATTTCCTTTCTCCCAATCTGACCTCAGAAATATCTGTCTCAAATGTCATTATCATTTTTTTATTTATTCTCTCGTTTCAAAAATATGAAAGATTTTATGCCAAGAAAAACATCAGAACATCTGTCTATAAAACACTCACACACACAGACAAGCACACATTTGTAAAGCATTCAAACTCAATACAAAATGGGCATAGGAATTACCATTTGGGTGATGATGATGTGTTTGTGTAGTCATCATTTGTAACAAAATCAGCACTCTGGTGGGGCATGTGTATAGTAGGGCAGGCTGTGCATGTGTGGAGGCAGTGGGTATTGGGAAATCTCTGTGCCTTCTGCGCAATTTTGCTGTGAACCTCAACTACCCCTGAAAATAAAGCCTGATAAAAAATAGTTATTGCATTGTGAAGCTGGAGAAGCTCAGCATATAAAAGTCAGCTAAACCAAGTAAAAACTTCTTTGATGTCCCACTTGATAATGATGCAAATCTTATAAATTTTATGATGTACATAAAAATAAGAATAAAAAGTACTAAGATACAGAAGAGCACTATTAAGTTTAACAATTAAAAAGTTAAAATAAGTGTAATATAGTTGATTTGGCACAGCTGTATGACCCATAGCCCTTGAATGTGTTTATTTCTTTGTGCTGAATCATTTAGTTTAACTGCTTAGTTTGGTGCTCAGTTCCAGAGTAGAATGGAAATGATATTTCTGGTGTCACATGCCACCATGGTTATGTCATCTGCTGCAACTCTGTGATTTCCAAAGATGTATTTTGGAGGAAAGAGCACGGGAAGAGGTCACTGGGTGGGGAATGGGAAAGTAGGTGGAAGAGGAAGAGCCAGTGGTTTCCCTGGTTTGGCTCTAGTGTTTTGAAGCAGGTGCTTTGTTGACCCTGAGTCAGTTCATCCTTCTGCCCCAAGGTCTCAAATGAAAAGTCATCTCTCTGATGAGACACAGCAATCTACTCTTCTATGTAAAACCTCTGCATGTTGTGCACTGTGTTTGAAGCATCCACACAAATTTTTCTGGTCCATTAGTTCAGCTATTGTTACCCATGTTACCGGGAATCTTTTGTTCCTGTCAGTTTGTAGCAGACAACAGTGACAACACATTTGCTCTGAGGCTTTCAAGAAGTGGGAGAAGGTTTTAAACTGGACCTGTGCCAGTGCATAGTTTTTAATGTTACTTCCCTAACACTGGTTCTCTTTCTGGGTCCTTCTATTGTTAAAGATTCTATTTAGTCAATAGTAACTGAGTCATTTTGCCTGATATGGCAGAAAATGGTTTAAGTTCATTGACTTTTGAAGTTTTTACATCTGAAAGATTCTTTGTGTGTTAACTTAAGGGAAAAAAAAATTCAAACTTTTGTTATGAGTTTCCCATATTTTTTCAGTGCTCTGTCCCTGAACTCCAGCCTGTCCAAGGAATTCTGAATAGAAAACTTGAGGACTTTATGAAAACCCTTCTTTTCCTACATTTAGTCTTTGAACCGTCTTGCTTTCAAACCTGAGAAATGGAGACATCTCTAAAATCTATCATGCACTATACTTAGAGCCTTTTTTCAATTCCCAATATAGTAAGAATGTAAGTGGCTCAGACTTTGGTATATTTATAGACTTTTAAATGGAGTATTTAGGAATGTTGGTAGTGCAGATTTGTAGAGTGGGTTTTGCTCAAGTGTGGGTTTCATTACCTGAGCTGAAGTTTATAGTTTACTGAAAAAGTGAAGATCAGTTAACAGGATCGCAAGCATTGGAAAATAACTAATTACTGCATTGTTTCAAAACACTTTAAATGAACTGTTAATAAAAGAAAAAACCTAAAACTGTGATTGAAATATTGAATTGATAAAACCTTAGAGCTGAATTGGAACTTAAAGACCAAATGCCCTATCTGCTTTGTTTTACAAATGAAAAAAGTGAGAGAAGCCAAATGATGTGCTGAAATTTATCATTCTGTTAAGGGCAAGAAGTGAGACTACAGCTCATGTTCCTGGTTCCCTTATTTTTCACCAACTGAAACTAAGTTCTTTTTATCTAATCAAGCCAGTAGGACGCAGTAGAGAAAGTACAGTATTTTTATTAGTTTAGAATGAATTAACTTGAGAGTTATCAATAATTGTTCAAAAATAAATCTGATACTCAAACTAATTTACATTGATTCCTTTTTATTGGTTTTAAGAAGGCTTTACCATATCTGGAATTATTTTTGAGATTTTGTTAATAGCTAGTTAAACAATCTGTAAATTCAGAAGAGGGGAAAATTAACTTGTTTTTATCTTTATAAGTTAAAAAATATATATGAATTTGTGATAACATTTATGAAACTTTTTAAGAACAAATTTTTGTTAAAATAAAATTTTCTGATGGCTGGGCTTTACATTTGGAAGCAATAATGCCTTTCAGTATGAAGTGAAAACTATCATGAAGATTTGAAACAGGTTTAGCACTGAATTTCCACTAAATGTCTGTGATTCAAATCACTGACTGCCTTTAGAACTTTAGACTTCAGTTGACATTGAGGTACATTTAGTACTATTTTTTGCCAAAGCTAAATTTGAAACTATAAAGTTATTTCTGTTACTCTATTTGCCATAAGGATATAGTATCTCTTTTTATTTCTAGCAAATATCATGGCTTTGAAATAGATCAAGGTTTTCAAAAGTATTCCCAAATATTTCTGAAGAGTTATAAAAGCAAGGCTTTAATTTTATGTTACCAAATAAACCACTTTATGATCCTGGATCTAAGTTTTGACTTGCAGACACCTGAAGGCAGGGAGAGGTGGTATAACGCATCTGTGTGCCTTCATACCTGTGCTTCCTTTGCTTTAGCATTTTAAAATGCCCAACTCACTAGAATCTTTTTCATTCCTTTCAGGTGAACATATTACCAGAAATACAGCATCAACTTTGCAGAAAGGAAGGATTATGTCAAATAATTACACGATTTCCAGGTAAGCTTTTTTTTGCTTCCTCATGCATGAATGTGCAAGATATGTAGGCTTCTTTACGCAATATGATCTGTTAGATGAGAGCTCAGATTTGCCTATTGAGCTTCTTTGTCTACCAATTCCAATATCACAAATCTTCCAGAATCCGCAAAGTTTTTGCCAATGGGATGAACTTAAAATAAGAAATACGGATGTAACGTTAATATTCTTTCTTTTATTTTTGCTTTCTATCTTTCTAGATATATATGCCTTTTATTTCTATATGTTTGTCTTTAATACCCTTGTTGCTTTTTATTATAGTATTTCTTAAATAAAGAAAACTTGACATTTAAAAATATATTTCTTCATGATTAAGTGATTCTAATCCTAATAAGTATCTTTCTTTTTTCTAAAATCATCTCAATTTGTCTGCGTGTTTAAGACAGGATACTGAATGAGTAAATTCTATGTCTTGACAACATTAGAAATTTGGGATAAAATTTACCATCTCATTTTCTCATAGGCTCCCCAAGTGGGAAAAAATAGCATCAGATGTTATATGAGTCTTCATAGATGATATTATAGCCTACTTTATTTTTTTTATTTTTTTTTACATAGCCAAAAGAGTCTTTTTTAATTAAAGTAACATTGCTTAATAACATTATATAAATTTCAGGTGTGCAACATTATAATTCAATAGCTGTATATTATATTGCATGCTCACCACCCTAAGTCTAGTTTCCTTCCATTACAATATATTTCACCCTCTTCACCAATTTTGCCCTCTCCCAGCCCCCTTTGCCTCTGGTAACCATCATTCTATTGTCTTTCCAACAATGTGACTATAGTTGTCTTCGGGATGCTGCTTCTGAGCTGACTCACGCACCGCATGGGAACATTCACCTCATTCCTTCGTATGCACACCATACTGTTGACCATCTTGGCATTGCCCAATTTGATCATGCACTTTTTCACAGATTCTGACTCTCAGTCATTTTTGGCTATTTTAAAAAATCTCCAACCTTTAAAGGCAAGAAGTTGCCAAAATTGAGGACATTCAGAAGAGAGTGCTTCCAGTTGCAGAAATGATTCTAATGTAAGCGTTTGTTCCAAAAATGCCTGTGATGACATAGCTGGTGTAGGTGTGTCCGTCCTCTGAATTCATGAGCTCCGATGTGCTTAGAAAGGCATGGAATGGTAAATAGGAGTTTGTCCCTTTGGCATTACACTCCCTGCATTTGAATCCTGGTTCCACTATCTTATTACCTGCATATCTTTGCAAAAGTCATTTAACCTCTAATCTTAGTTTTCTTGCCTATAAAATGAGGATAATAATAATATCTACCTGAACAGGTTTTCTGTTTGAATTAAATAGTAATATGTGCAATACCCTAGGTATATAGTAAATGCTCACTAAATGGTAGTTCCCTATGCTCATCCTTTCTGCTGATCAGTTTGGTAAAGCTAAGTCTTTCTTTTTATTGGGTTGATCTCTTCTCTTCCAATTCTTCATCAGCAATGTGAGTTTCTACTATTGCATTGATCAAATTTTGCTTGGTATTAGATTTAATTTTATCTATACCTATTCTCCTTTAAAAAAATGACATACATTTAGCTCTTAATAAGTGCCAGAAACCACTCTAAGATTTATATAGATAAACTCACTTAATCCTCTGCATTCCTATTCTTTTCACCAAGTTTTTTTTTGTTTTGTTTTTGTTTTTTGGATAGAGCCCATATTTTAATTATTTCTGCATCCCCTACAGTGGGGGATTTACACATAGGAAGCCCTCAATTACTGCTTATTGGATTGTTAAAGAAATGGCCAGAGATAAATCCGAATCATGTTAAGGGCTAGGAAACCAAGGGAAAGATTTCTAATAAAATGTACTCTGTTTTATCAGAGTCATCCTCTCTAAAAAGTAACCAGAGACCCTTCACAAATCCTGACCTCATTGATTTATGTCATCCTGGCATGATGTGCTTGCCTGATTTCTTAAGCAAATATAGCCATTCTAATCCTCCTTTGGCTCTTTCTCCATCATTTGAAGGAAAAGGAGGCAGAAAAACCATCTTCCACACAGTTAATACCTCAAAATATGCAAACAATTTGAAAAGTTTTAGATTAGGTAAACGACTTACAGCCTACAGTAAAAAGCAGAAGAATGGGTGAATGTTCACAACAGTTGTTTTCTAAAGTTAACTGAGGGAACTAATATTGGAAACTTTTTTTCAGAATCACAGAATTGCTATACTTTGTCAAGGGGAATAATTGAGGGGAAATAATTGAGAAAGGCTTTGAAAATATACTGCATCAAATTCAAATGAGAGAAAACAACATAGAGAATAGTAGGAAAATATAAGAAATTCAGGACAATTTTTTTCTGTCTTGTAAGAGCGCAGCAGTATTATGTGGGTATGCTTCAGTAGCTAATTACCAAACATAGTAAGATAGAAGATGGAGTAATCGTATGCCGTAGTATTTGCAAGGGGAAATTTGTTTTTGAATAACGTGAAAACATTTTAAGTCTTATGTATTTAACTTAATATCTTACACAAGAGTATAGCAAGGTCTCATGGACAAAACCAAAGGGGAAGGGTTGTGGGGGAGGGGGCAAGGGAAAGTGGTGGGGGGAAGGCAGAGACAAATGTATTTGGGAAAAAAAAATAAAACATTCTGAAGTGAGAATTAAAAAAATTGATAGATAATTAAAATAAAAATGAAAAATCAAAACATAATATAAAATGAAATAAACGAGATTATTTGGCATGCTGTAAAAGAAAAAGAAAACCTATGCATTCTGATTTCCTTATATTTGTGGAATGAAAAAAATGTTTTCGGTATAGCCTACTTTAAAATTCACCAGTGTAAAGATTCTTGAGACTTCTTGTTTAAAACCTATTTGATGTTTAATAGGTATCCCCTTAGAAAGTATTTTACTATATAATTAAAATTTAGATCCACATAGCTTTAATTATTTCAAAAATTAATTAGTGTCCAAATGGAATCAGAAAACTAATATCTTAATCCATCAGCTTTTTCATGGGGTTTCTGCTTTCACACCAAACATTAACAACATTGGTATGTCCCATTATGAAGACTATAGTTTTCTACTGATTTTTACCAAGGATTAAAATAAATTAAAATGAACCTGCATTTAAACTTTTGATTTAAGATACTTGTCTAAAATAAATGATGGGTGTATATATTTGGTTCTCTAGTTACTTTTTTTACATCACAGTTGTACCTGACCTTATAATCTTTAAGTTTGTTTTGTTTTTGTAAATGTCAGCTGGATAATTTTTTATTTCTATAAAAAGAGTCATGTTGCTGTGAGGAGCAAGTAAAATAATTGCTTTCATTAATATATTATTAATATACTACATTTCAAAATGGTTGACTTAGGACATTAAGTTTATTTAGTATTAGAATTAGCAGCATAGGGTCGTAGGAATGAACACCAATTTTTAGCCAGAAATGGACCACCAGTTTATAAGTTTATATTGTATATTTTGCTTCCATAGAATTAAGATTTTTGTTTTCTTTTGCTGTAAGTGTTTTTTATTCTTCAGAACATCTGTAAGTTCTAGATGTATGTCCTTCCTCCACTCTGTCTAGTGTGTTAATTTTTATTTACCTCTGTGACTAGCAAGATATTTTTATCGACTATATAGCTTTTTAACTAGAATTATTTCTCCTGTCATGTTTTCTTAGCTGTGTAGATTTAAGAGAATATATCTAAAGCATTGTTTTATGATTGAAACTTTATAAACCATAGTTTTTGTAGTAGACTTTTTCTGTGATTATATGATATATTATATAAACACATCATTCATAAGATTAAAACCATTTTATTTGTTGTGAATATTGAATATTTAATATTAAATACATATTAGATAGCAACATGTTGTTACCTAAACGTATAGGAAGTATTAAAAAAGTAAGATAGTAAAACTAAACACATTACTGTATAATTTAACCATTTTATTTAAAACCAAGTTGGCCCATACCATGTTAAGCTGTGTTTTATTTAGAAGTAGGTAAAACACAAGTTTGAAACCTGCTACCTATTAGCTGTGTGACAACTTCAGGGCACCCTTGGATTTTGTTTGTCTTTGTTTTTAATCTATAATGTGAGGATAATGAGACCATTTCACAAATTCAATTAAAAAATAAAGTAGATATTATGTGTGTGTGTAATTTGATTGGAAGAATAAAGAATATTATATAGTGTACTTAATACATAATGCTCAAAAAATGGTAACTGGATTACCCTAGATTTGAAAAATCAAGGAACAAACCTCTCATTAGGTACTTTTTATCTGATTGATTGATTACCCCTAAAATTTTATGTTCCTGTCAAAAAGTGTGAGTAGTCTGAGATTTCTTCCTACTTCCAAGCTCAGAAATCAGTCTACCACAGCTTCATGGATACTGGCAGGAGACATGAGACTCTGAGACTCCTGGGTTGGAAACAAATGATTCTATTATTTACAGCAATAGCTGTAGTCAAACTATCAGCATTTGCACCAGTTCACTGAATCCCAATTCCTATAGGGCAATGTGAAGCACATAGATGGCACTTGTATACTTAGTGGTTTGCAGTTCAAGAGAGGAACCCCTAGCTTAGGGACTTTTACTATTTTATGCTAAGCAGTGAACATGTCTGCCCTTTGCCCCAGAGGGAGACATTGTTTTTGTTATATTGGACAAAATCTTCTTCATGCTCTGGAGTCAGACACCACCTCTATATTTCAAGGCTATCTCCTATGTAAATAGCTTTGGAAAGATAGTTCAGAATAAAGATTGCCAGTGCATCTGTTTGCAAAATGTGCAGAAATGTAAAAAGTGCATTGAGAAGTGTCTCAACAGATTCAAGATTACCTGACAGTTTCCAGCTCTGAAACTTCATGTGTGATGCTGAGCAAGATTTAAAGCCTAGTTGGGGCTTCAGTTTCCTAATCTATAAAAGCAATGATGTTTGGCAAGAATCAATAATGCTGAGATTCCCTGCTTCCACTGT